TTTTATTTTATTTTATTTTATTATTTTATTTTATTTTATTTTATTTATTTTATTTTATTTTATTTTATTTTATTTTATTTTATTTTATTTTATTTATTTTATTTTATTTTATTTTATTTTATTTTGACAGAGAGCGAGAGAGGAAACACAAGCAAGGGGAGTGGGAGAGGGAGAAGCAGGCCTCCCACCTAGCAGGGAGCCCAATGCGGGGCTTGATCCCAGGACCCTGGGATCACGACCCGAGCCGAAGGCAGGTGCTTAATGACTGAGCCACTCAGGCGCTTCTCTATCAAACATTTAAAAAAAGGATGAACACCAAAAAGACACTATCCGCATAGTAAAAAGGCAACCCAAAGAAAGGAGAAAGTATTTTCAAGTCATATATCTGATAAGGGATAATATCCAGAATATGTAGAGAAGTCACAAAACTCAAAAACAAAAACCCAATTCGAAAATGGGCAAAAGACAATGAGATACTACCTCACACCTGTAAGAATGGCTAAAATTAACAACACTGGAAACCACAGATGTTGGTGAGGATGCAGAGAAAGGGGAACCCGCTTGCACTGTAGGTGGGAATGCCAAAAGGTGCAGCCACTCTGGAAAACAGTATGGAGGTTCCTCAAAAAGTTGAAATAGAACTACCCTACGACCCAGCAAGTGCACTACTAGGTATTTACCCAAAGGATACAAAAGGATAGATTTGAAGGGGTACATGCACCCTACGTTCACAGCAGCATTATCAACAATAGCCAAACTATGAAAAGAACCCAATGTCCATCGACTAATGAATGGATAAAGAAGATGTAGTATATACGCACAATGGAATATTACTCAGCCATCAAAAAGAATGAAATCTCACCATTTACAAGGACATGGAAGGAGCTACAGTGTATTATGCTAAGCGAAATAAGTCAGAGAAAGACAAATACCATATGATTTCACTCATACATGGAATTTAAGAAACAAAACAGAAGAACATGGCAGGGGGAGGGGGGATAACAAACCATAAGAGACTTTTTTTTAAGATTTTATTTATTTAGGGCACCTGGGTGGCTCAGTCGTTAAGCGTCTGCCTTCGGCTCAGGTCATGATCCCAGGATCCTGGGATCGAGCCCCACATCGGGCTCACTGCTCGGCGGGAAGCCTGCTTCTCCCTCTCCCACTCCCCCTGCTTGTGTTCCCTCTCTCGCTGTGTCTCTCTCTGTCAAATAAATAAATAAAATCTTTAAAAAAAAAAAGGTTTTATTTAAGAGAGAGAGAGCACGAGCAGTGACGGGGGGAGGAGGGGAAGGCAGAGGAGGGTGAGCAGGGAGCCTGACAAGGGGCTCAATTCTAGAACCCTGAGATCATGACCTGAGCCAAAGGCAAATGCTTAACTAACTGAGCCACCCAGGCGCCCCACCGTGAGACTCTTAGAGAACAAACTGAGGGTTGATGGAGTGAGGGAGGTGGGGGATGGGTTAGAAGGGTAATGGGTATTACAGAGGGCACTTGTGATGAGCACTGGGTGTTGTATGTAAGTGATGAATCACTGAATTCTCCTGAAACCAATATTGTATTGTATGTTAACTAAAAAGAATTTAAATAAAAATTTGAAGAAAATAAATGGGCAAAAGACTGCAATAGACATTTCTCCAAAGAAGATATCGGAGTGGCCAATAAGCACATGAAAAGATGCTCAATATCACTAAACATTAGGGAAGTGCAAATTAAAACTACCATGAGATACCACCTCACACTCATTGGGAGGGCTACTGTCTAAAAAACAGAAAACAAGTGTTACGGAGAATTTGGACAAATTGGAACCCTTGTGCACTGTTGTTGGGAATGTCAAATAGTACAGCCACTGTGCAAAACAGTATGGCAGCTCTTTGAAAAAAACTAAAAATAGAATTACCATATGATCCAGCAATTCCACCTCTGCATATATACCCAAAAGAACTGGAAGCAGGATCTCGAAGAGATATTTGTACATCCATGTTCACAATGCCATTATTCACAATAGCTAAAAAATAGAAGCCACCCAAGTATCCATCCACCAATGAATGAATAAGCAAAATATGGTACATACATATAAGGACTACAATGTGGCTTTAAAAAGGAAGGAAGTTCTGTAATATGTTACAGTATGGATGGACCTTCAAGATATTTGCTAAGTGAAGTAAGCCAGCCACAAGAAGACAGTCTGGCCCTGATTTCTGTACCTAGTACATATGACACACCCAGTAAATGTTTACTGAATAAAAAAAAATTACATACTACTTCACATTCTTTAGGATGGGTATACATAAAAAAAAAGGAAAAACCAGTGTTGGCTACAATGTGGAGAAATAGAAATTTTGTACACTGCTGGTGGAAAACAGCTGTTGCTCCCTCAAAAAATTAAACATTACCATACAACACAGCAATTCGACTCCTGGGTATGTACCCCAAGGAATCGAAAACCAGTACTCAAATACATTTTCAAGAATGATCATAGCAGTACTATTCTTAATGTCCCAAAGGTGGAAACAAGTAAAATGTCCATCAGCAGGTGACTGGATAAACAAATCATGATATAGCCATATGATGGAATATTTTTCAGCCATAAAAAGGAATGAAGTACTGATACATGCTATAATTTGGATGAACCTCAAAAGCATGCTGAGTGAAAGAGAGCAAATATAAAAAGTCACGTTTTGTACAATTCCTTTCACAGAAATATCCAGACTATGTAAATCCCTGGAGACAGAAAGAATCTAAGTATTTGCCAGGGGATCGGGGTAGGGGACGAAGAGTGATTATTTAATGTGGTGGGGGTGTTCCTCAGTAGGTTATGAAAAAGTTTTGAAACTACAGAGAGGTGGTGGCCGCACAACGTTGTGAGTACACTAAACGCCACTGAATTGTACACTTTAAAATGGTTGTTTTAATGTTCTATGAATTTTACTTCCATTTAAAAAAAGAATTTATGACCACATCTGGTTCAGGGGTTGTGGAGTTTTGTGGCAAGTTGTGCTCCACTCTCCAGAGAACTGGCCTCCAGTTCCCGAGAAGGCCAAAGGACACATCTATGGGGGATGGGTACTCAGGACCTCTACTGTTTTTGCAACATCCTTTGGGTCTGTAATTATTTCAAAATAAAAGGTGAAATGAAAAGTAAGGACACGTGTGATCATGGCTGCCCCATGGCCGCCCCTCTCAGGTCTGGCACTCAGAGACTGACCAATCTCTTTTGAGTCCCGGGACTCATTCCCTGACTGGCCACCTAGGACTCCCATTTGTCCTGAGCTGGCCACTGTAGTCAAGGGGGAATTCTTATCCTCAGGAGTGGGCCCAGGGCCAAATAGGTACTCCCAAAGATGTCAGGCTTCACCTGGATCTGTGCTTTGGGCTCCAGGGATGGGACAACGTAAGCCTCACATTCTCCCACAGCCTCTGCAATGGGACTGGCTCTGCCCTGTGTTATGGACCAGGTGAGTCCTCAGGGCACGGGGGTTCCTGCCAGAACTCTGTGGGCAGGAAGCCCATTCAGGCAGCGACACTGAGGGGGATGGGGCCTGAGGTTTGGGACATCTAGGGACCTACAGGAGACCATTGCCTCCAGCCCACATGGGTCCCTCCCATGGCTACCTTCCTCAAGACAGATACCTGCTGGGGCCCCTGGGTGGCTCCATTGGTTGAACATCCGATTCTCAGTTTCAGCTCAGGTCATGATCTCATGGGTCGTGGGATGGAGCACTATGTTCTTGGGCTCCATGCTCAGCAGGGAGTCTGCTCGAAGATTCTCTCCCTCTGCCCCTCCCCCCACTAACATGCTCCCACTCTCTCTCTCCCTTTCAAATAAATAAATAAAGCTTAAAAAAAAAGAAAAAGATACCTGCTCTCCCAGAGGCCAAAGAGCCAAGAGTTCTGCCCCACTTTGCCTGTGCCCCACAGCAGCCACGCCTGTCTGGAGGCAGGACCAGGAGCTGGCTCAGTCCAGTTTCACTTTCACTTTCGCTTCTCCTGAAATGACAGAGGAGCCAGGAAGAAAGCTGTGACCAGTAGCAAAGCTTAGTGCCTCTTTGCACTAGCTACAGTGGAGCTCTGGCCTCTGCTGGCCCAGCCTCCCACACAGCGACCCCACCTGTAAGCGCGGCAGCCAGCTGCCCAGCCTCCGGCCTGAGAATGTCTGTCCTGGAGACCTCCAAGTTGCTGGATGAGGAGCTATACTCACGGCAGCTGTGAGGCCCAAGGTGGGGAAGGGAGTGGGGTGGCCTTCTGACTTCTGACCTCCGACTGCCTACCTTCTTCTCCCCCTCCACAGGTGTGTGCTGGACTTGCCGGCCATGCAGAGGATTCAGCGAGCCAAGGTCCTGCTATCAGGCCTTCAGGGTCTGGGGGCTGAGGTGGCCAAAAACTTGGTCCTGATGGGTGTGGGCAGCCTCACGCTGCATGATCCCCACCCCACCTGTTGGTCTGACCTGGCTGCCCAGGTGGGGGTCGTGAAGGGGAGGTACTCTGGGTTCCCAGGCCAGGGTCGGGGTGGGGCCCAGGAGAAATCTCCTTGCTCAAGGCAGACTGGGTCTCTAGTTTTTCCTCTCAGAGAAGGACTTGAAAAGGAGCAGGGCTGAGGCATCTCAAGAACCTGTGGCCAAGCTCAACGGAGCCGTCCAGGTGTGTGTGCACACAGGTGACATCACCGAGGAGCTGCTGCTAGACTTCCAGGTACACTCCCTGCCCCACTCTCCAGGTGAGCCCGGCCCCTTCCTCTTCCTGAGCTGAGCAGTGGTTCTGGCCCTGCTGATCACGGAGTCCACCCAGGTGGTGGTGCTGACTGCCTCAAAGCTGGAGGAGCAGCTGAAGGTGGGCGCTTTATGCCACAAGCTCGGAATCTGCTTTCTGGTGGCCGATACCCGGGGCCTCGTGGGGTGAGTGAGACTAACCTGCCACATCACAAGCGGCAACCAGTCCCAGGGCTGTTCCCAAGCTCCAGGCTTGCTCCTGTGCCCCTCCCAGCCCTCCGCCCCAGGGCCTGTCTTGGCATCCCCTCCTGATTGTAGTCCCCAGTCCCACCCCTCTGCTTCCTCCACCCCAGTCTCCAGACCTGCTCCAGTAAACCCCTCAAACTCCGGCTTCCAAGTCTCTCCCAGCATCCCTTCCCCAGTGCTGGCCCTCTGGGCTGGGCCTAGTGTCTCCCACCCTTTACCGCAAGCACGGTGAATAACCACTGCCCTGGCTCAGGGACCCGTACCACCCCACCCCAGGCAGCTCTTCAGTGACTTCGGTGAGGACTTCACTGTGCAGGACCCTATAGAGGCAGACCCTCTGACAGCTGCCATCCAGCACATCTCCCAGGTGGGTGCGGAAGTGTGGGTGCTCAGCTGATGACCAAGCGAGGGGCACCCCTGAACCAAATCACCTCTTCTCCAGGGCTCCCCTGGAATTCTCACTCTGAGAAAAGAGGCCGATGCCCGCTACTTCCGTGATGGGGATCTGGTGACTTTCTCAGGCATTGAGGGCATGGTTGAGCTCAATGGCTGTGATCCCCGGCCTATCCACGTGCAGGGTAAGCCAACCCAACCCCAGGCTCCGCCCCCAAGACTCCACGGTGGGGCTTATGCAGCCTGGTCCTTGCGGATAGGTTCTCCCTCCACCTTCCTCAGTGTGGAGCAAAGTCAAGGACACAGGCGCAAGACAGGATAGAGTATGAAGAGCAACTCAGGTTCAGAGGTGATACTGACCAGGCTGGATCTCCCCCAGAGGACGGAACCTTGGAGATTGGGAACACAGCCATTTTCTCCCGTTACTTGCGTGGTGGGGCTGTCACTGAGGTCAAGAAATCCGAGATTGTGAGCCATGTGAGTGCAAGTGCATCTGAGATGGGGGAGCTTGGGTGCCCCAAGGGGCCCACAGTGTTCTGAACCTGACCCTGAGCTGAGTACCTATTGCAGAAGCCCCTGGATGTAGCCCTGCTCCAGCCCCGTGTAGTGGCCCAGAATCCCCAGGAAGCTTACCGTGCCCGCTGCCTGCATCAGGCCTTCCGTGCACTGCACCAGTTCCAGCACCTCAACGGCCGCCTGCCCAAGCCTTGGGATCCTGTGAGTAGCCCCGTTGCTTCTCCCTCGAGCCTCTGCCTTACTGGGGTCTCACTTGCCAGGAAGCAACAATGATGATCTCACAGACCCGAGTTATAATCCCAGAGTCCACTTCCCACTTACATAAAGGAAATGATAGCACTGTCCCCGGACCAGAGTCCGGGTCCCTGGCCATCTCCTCACCCCTCAGTTCTGGGCTGAAATCTCTACCCATGTCGGCAAAGCCTCCACAGGCATTGTCGAGGCATCCTCTGGTGGGCTGCACAGTCTGGCAACTGGTTGGGGCCTTCACACTCAGGCTCTGCTTCCTCTTCTGTGGAAACGGGGGATGGCTGCCTGAAGGGTGTGAGTGGGGGGATGGAGCTCAGGCTGGGGCCGCTGTGCCCACAGAGTTCTACTCCACAGGATGATGCAGAGATGGTGGTGGGCCTGGCCCGGTCCCTGGAACCACTGAAGGGGACAGAAGGAGGGCCACTGGAAGAGCTGCTGGATGAGGCTCTAGTGCAGACAGTCGCCCTGAGTAGTGCTGGTGGCTTGAGCCCCATGGCAGCCATGCTGGGCGCAGTGGCTGCCCAGGAAGTGCTGAAGGTGGGCAGAGGCGCAGGCAGGATGAGACTGGGAAGGGTGTGGAGATCAGTGTGGGTGCGAGAGGGTGCCCAGCACCAGACAGTGGTCCTGGCGGTTTCATCGATCTGGTGAAGCCCAGCCAGGATCTCAGGTGGCTTGGAGCTGGCAGGAGTCCCTACACTGAAGTTCTGGCCTCTAGGCAATCTCCAGGAAGTTCATGCCCCTGGACCAGTGGCTTTACTTTGATGCCCTCGATTGCCTTCCAGAAGATGGGAAGCTCCTTCCCACACCGGAGGACTGTGCGCCGGTAAGAGCCTGGGGTAGGAGTGCAAGCCTTCTCCAAACTTAGGACCAGGGAAGGAACAGGAAGAATGGTCCAGAGATCCTGACCTGGAAAAGATAGTGTAAGAGGGAGGAGACACAGCACAGCCATCCCTGACCCCTGTCTCTGTCCCCTAGAGATGTTGCCGCTATGATGGGCAAATTGCAGTGTTTGGGGCTGGTTTTCAGGAGATGCTGGGCCAGCAGCACTACCTCGTGGTGAGCTTTGTGGTCCAGTTGGGAGATGTCTGTGGGAGGGCCAGGCCAGGGCCTCTGGCTAAGGCTGCTCCTGCTGGCAGGTGGGTGCTGGTGCTATCGGCTGTGAGCTGCTCAAAGGTTTTGCCCTAGTGGGCCTGGGGGCCGGGGCCAGCGGGGGCGTGACTGTTGCCGACATGGACCACATAGAGCGCTCCAATCTCAGCCGTCAGTTCCTCTTCAGGACCCAGGATGTTGGCGTGAGTGCTAGCCCCTGTGCACAACTTGTATCCTGGACTATCCCCATTGCTCCCCCCGCCCACCCCCAGCATCTTCCTGTTCTCTTCTCAGAGGCCCAAGGCAGAGGTAGCTGCAGAGGCCACTCACCGCCTGAACGCAGACTTGCAGGTGACCCCACTCACCTACCCACTGGATCCCACGACAGAGCACATCTACGGGGATAACTTCTTCTCCCGTGTGGATGGCGTGGCTGCTGCCCTGGACAGTTTCCAGGCCCGTGAGTGCTTGACCTTGAACCTCAGCCCCTTATTCAAGGCAGTGCCAGCCCCACTCCTGACCTTGCCCCCTTGCTAGGCCACTATGTGGCTGCTCGCTGCACCCACTATCTGAAGCCACTGCTGGAGGCGGGGACACAGGGCACCTCGGGCCATGCTTTCGTGTTCATGCCACATGTGACTGAGGCCTACAGAGCCCCTGCCTCGGGCTTAGCTTCTGAGGATGCTACCTACCCTGTCTGCACCCTGCGGCACTTCCCCAGCACAGTCGAGCACACCTTGCAGGTATGAAGCACCCCAGAGACCCCTACCCCACCCAGCGCCATCCTTGGCTGCAGACCTATTCCCCACCTGACACCTCATGGTTCCTCTCTCCCCCACAGTGGGCCCGGGACGAGTTTGAGGGGCTCTTCTGTCTGTCTGCTGAGATCATCAACCGCCACCATCAGTAAGGCCACCAAGAGGGGTAGATGGGAGTCCAGAGCCCCTAGCACCAGAGTCTTCAGGGCTTAGCCTCAAACCTCCTCCTCTTTCTGCAGGGAGCTCACTTCCCTGGCAGAAACAGATGGGCCACAGGAGCTGACCCTGCTGGAGGAGGTGCTGGGTGTCCTGAGAGAGCGTCCACAGACCTGGCAAGACTGTGTGGTGTGGGCCCTTGGCCACTGGCAACGACGCTTCCATTATGGCATCATGCAGCTGCTGAGCTGTTTCCCACCTGATAAAGTGGGTGTCTAGGGGTCAGGAGGCTGAGGGTTCAGGGGGACCAGACTGAGCCCAACAGCCTCCATTTCCCTAGGTGCTAGAGGATGGAACTCTTTTCTGGTCGGGTCCCAAACAGTGTCCTGAGCCCTTGGAGTTTGATGCCAGCCAAGTGAGTGGGGTCCCTTGGGAACCCCAAGGTGGGGATGTGACCCCCTCAGAGCAGCGGTGGGCACCTATCCAGAGATGCATAGACGCTGAGGGAGACCGCCATGTTTGTGTACACATGGGTGTCCACATGTGAGACCGAGGCAGGCGCCAGGCACTCCAACATCTCCATAAATGGGCGGACCCCCACCCCACACACCTGTACATGCTCACTCACACCCATGCATCTGCCCATGCTCTTGGTCTGACTGCAGGACACACATCTCCTCTATGTGCTGGCGGCTGCTAACCTGTATGCCCGGATGCATGGGCTGCCTGGCTCATGGGACCAGACGGCGCTCAGGGAACTACTGAAGTTGCTGCCGTTGCCTGTGCCCCAGCCCTTGGCCCCCAGCTTTCCTAATGACCTGGACCTAGCTGGGGCTTC